ACACACACACACACACACACACACACACACACACTCATACTGATACCACATACAGAGAGTTCTGTGCACAAGGAAATTCTTGGGTGAAGTTCATATGGAATCTCCAGGGAAGTGGCCCGTCCTATCCTTCTGTGGAAAGAACACTGATGTGCATTAGATCTAGACTAGATCACTAAACTCCCATGTACTCAGATATGGAGCTTTTAAAAGGAGATTCGCATCCGAGGATATGTATTTATCAGTTGATTCGTCTACTAATAAGTTCAGCTGCCGAGTGTGCTGTGCGGGTGTGTACCCTGTTTATAAATAGCTCACTGGGGCATGACTCTAAAGGTCAATCTCACTTCAATCTTGTTTCTTCACTTTTGCAGCTTTGTGGCCTCCCTGAAGTGAGCATATTTTCTCTGTCAGATCCTTCCATCATGTTCTTCCCTCCTAGAATCTGCTGACTATGGATTGACTCCTCTAAAACACCTAAAGCATGTGAACCAGAGTAAACCTCCTTTTTTCAGTAAAATATGGGTTTCAATATTTCTGTCTTCATAATGAGAAAATGACTGAGATACTCACAGTGTTAAATATAGACAAAAGAGAGGAAAGGAAAGGGACACATGTTGTACTGAGTGCACCTCTGAAATACCCTACTATCTATAAAATAAGATGCCTTCAGGCCACTGGTGAGAGAAAATGACTACATGTTTCCACAAACTCAAACATATCAGGTAATTCTGAGAAAATATTTGGACCTAGTGAACAATGTAATTGTAATTATAAATTAGCTGTTGTAAAAATGGTGCATGAGGAATCACCTTGAGACTTACACTGTGGGGATGTTAGATTTTATTCTTGTACCTACAGGCACACTGACAAGTGAGTGAATCTCAGCAAGTATCTAAAAGGGAGTAGAATTGAGTACATATAGGTTTTAAGGTGAGTGGTTCATTTTAGGGAAGCTCACAAAAATCTGGGAAAAACATAGGTGTTTAAGGATGAGGACAATCATGTCGGTACACAGAGCTGGTGTCACTGCACTGTAGGGCAACCTTAGCCCCTCATTAAATGTTTTATTACCCTTGCCTCTTGTTTACCAGGAACAGGCTATTGCCAGAAATGGAGAGTCTGTTATTTCTAGCGGGCAACCCAAGACTTTCTCAGGTCACTCAAACTCCAGTTCTGACACCCGGAAAGAAAGGATTCCTCAAGCAAGGTGCTGAGGCTCCCTCTGAGCTGTGAGTGAGACAGTGGGGAATGAAGCAAGCACAGGATAGACTGGTCAGAGGTTTTTGTCTCACTTCCCCTATGGCTGTGCCACTGTGGGTTACACGAAGCTACTCCCACTGCCATGGTCTACCCCACAGTAGTAGACCGTTTCGTCTTCTTCCTGGATGTTCTGGATGGTCAGGTACCGATCCAAACCAGAGCCTGATCCTGAGAATCGATCAGGGATTCCATCGCCCTTGGATCCCACAATACCACTGGTACCCACTCGCAGCACAAACCGAGGGCTTTTCCCCTGGCTCTGCTGGTACAGTCTATAGCATAATTATTGTAGCCACTGCTGAGGGTGCAGGTAAGTTTAACTGTCTGTCCCAGGGAGGCAGATGCAGAGGGCTGCTGGGTCAGCGCAGGCTGAGAGAGGGACCCTAGAAACACAGAACTCCATTAGTTATCCAGTTCAGAGACAGGAGAATTGCTATAGGAGAGGACAGGGCTGCTGTTTGGCTTTGGAAAGCAGTGGTCTCTAGGGAGGCAGTTACCTGTGAAGAGAGTGATGATGGTGAAGAGGAGCTCAGCCCAGGCCATGTTGGAGATGTCCCAATGCTGAGTCCTCAGGCCCCAAGCTACTGAGATGGGGATCATGGTACATTTGTCCTCCTGTTTTATTTCTAGTCAGGGCATAGATTCCTATGCAAATGTTCCCATTACCAAGGTTAGTGCTTAACAAGGGTAGTGGCTGAGATAGATACTTGACATGGGTTTGGTTTCACACAGATTGCTCCACCTGATGGCCACACATTACCTATTAGCCTCTGTCTTCCTACAAGCCTTACAGAGCCCCTAAACTGCAGCCTTTAATTGGGACCTAAGAGTGTGTGCTCAAAATTCTTCATTCTCCACTTCTGAAGTTTATGTTATCTCCACAATTACTTTGCTCCCCTAGTGGATCCCAGTATGATGCAGTTTCCATACCTGCTAACTCTGGAACTGTCCACGGCACTTTCCCCAATTTCATGTCTTTCTTGCAGGGATTTTAAACTTTTACTCAGCAAGCACTATGACATTTCCAGGTAGGGCCCGAGCTCATCCATGTTTCTGGGAAGAGAAGCAGAGGTCTTGATTCCCTCTCAGTGGGTGTTTGATTCTTTCATGGAAACTTCCTTCTCACATTATCAACTAATACTGCGTGTTGCCCCTGGGCGCTCTGCTTACTCCCAGGGAAACACCTATCAACTCCCTCATTTGAAAGAGTTTTACTATAGTTACTGGGATTGTAAACTGCAAATCTACTTAAAGTAGTTGGACCTGATTTTTAAAAAAGAATGTAAAAGAGCTAAGAAGCTTAGGAATAATTCTTATTTTCTGATTTTTTTCCATATTTGAGCTTCCTCATATGCAATCCTTTAAAACAAAGCTACTGTTGTGAACCCAGCATCATAACAGAGGAAATAAATATCAATTAAGTCTTGAAATTGTCACTTAACAGTTTTTTGATCCTTATGTTTTTCTTTCATCAGGTATCTATAATTTAGAAAAAATACTCTCACGAAAGGTAGTGTGAGTGAAAATAAGGAAAGAACAATGCAGTATGCGGTAGATGATGGTGTGCTGAGGAGGAGTCTTCTTCCCTCCCCCAGTCTCCTATGCTAGTTTTAAAACCCAGGGCAGATGTGCGCACTGTACTCCAGACTAGACTGAGCTGGGTCAGGCTAGGACGTGATCTCTCACATGAAGATCACACTGAAGGCTGTCTAGGGATCTTACTGCATGCTGGACATGTCACACTACCTGCCGGAGGACTGAGCAGTTTTTATTAAAAGCACTAAGAAATATGAAATATTCTGTTGCTGCAGTGCTAATGCACTCTGATTGTTATGAACGCATGTGTATCATGTGAATGACTTCAAACATGAGCATGAGAATAACATATAAATTAGAGAACCAACCTCCAAGTCTGATCTAAGATTTGGGAGGCAATGTATGTCTTACACAGAGCCTAGACAGGGCAGTACTCAACATTCTTCAGGATCTTGAACACACACCTACACTGCCATCTAGTGGGAAGAAAAATATTCAGTCATCCTGGGGGGATGAAACCTAGACAGACAGAGCCTAGTGCTGGCATCAGCAGTCAACACTGAACTGTGGCTCTGAATCATGACATTATGATTAGAGCACGGATTTGACTTGACAGATGGTCAGGAAAGGGAGCTGTTGTAGGTGCCGCTGAGATGTAAATAAATCTAAGGTTCAGAGTAAGAAGAGCTATTTGGCTCTACTGGTGAAAAAAGTCCTTTGTCTAGGGTTAACTAAACCTGACTCCCATACAAGGCTATATTTGAAATAACAGTAACAATAATGGTGAGTGCAATAATGAAAAGTTAGAATAATAACCCAAGTTAGTGGTTGGCTAATGTTGTCCTAAAATAATATCGCAGACTACATGATAGCAACATGTAGTCAATTCACAGAGTTCTAGAGACTGGGAGCCCTGGATCTCGGTATCAGAAGGTTTGCTTCCTCTAGCATCCTCATTCTTCCCTTATAGTTGAGAAGGTTTTTGGCCTTTCATCAGTCAAGTTTTTCTGTGGTGCAATTTCTTCTGAGAAGGACACCAATTGTATTGAAATAAGCCTCCACACTTAGGACCTCATTGAATTGGCATTATTTCTTTAATGCGTTTGGCACCAGTTAAAATAACATTGAGGATTTGTGGTTTAGGAAATGAGTTTCTGGAAAACAAAATTTAGTCAAAACACTCTGTGTATTGGCAGCCTGCAAAATGACCAGGGAGTACTCCGAATAATTCAAGACAAAGAGAAAAATTTCTAATATAGTGGGAATGGGGGCTTCAATCTCGAGAATGTGAGAGCACGGGGCATCTAGAAAATCCCACATTGATTAGTAAAACAAAGCAGTATAGCAATCATGCAATTGAGCGTTTAAGAAATTTGTAAGTGCTTAGCAAGGAATCTAACTATTTTAGATTTGTGTGTAGAATTTTGTTTCTTTATCCTTTGGCTGATGCTGCTATTCCCTGGGGTTCTGTGAGAAGCAGCACTCCTGCTCACAAGAAAGGGCAGGGTCGCCCCACACCCTCTCACGTTGCCATAAACAGTCAACAAGGCCTCAGTATCCGCAGCTGATCACACTGAGGAGACTGCTACAAATCTATAGTCACTCTAAAGTATTTTCTTTGAGGCTGTCAAAATGTATGTGAGCAAATGACATATTGAAAGTATTTTTTACAAAGCTTAAAGTTTGACTAGCTCAAAGATAATGTTTGTCAAAGATACTTTTGTACGCATATTTTTTTTGCCTAGTTTGTGATTTGTAACTAGTATGTATTCAAAATTGTTCTAAGTGACATATAACAAAACATTAGGGATAACCAGCATAGCTCAAAGTTAGAATTCCTGCTTAGCTAGTATTCACAGATCCTAGCACTGTAAAAAAATTAAAATATACAAATTACACACATGCTACGGCAGAAGGATTTTTATTCGTGGAAGCTCTACATGGCTCACCAGTACTGACATAGTACATCCAAGGCCATGCGTCCATAAACCACCTCGACAAATCAATCAGCGCTCTAGGCCTTTCTTTATTCAATTAAATATATTTATTGGGATTAGCAGCCACAACAAGACTATTATTAGATAAGGAGTAATGAATAAGGGTGGGAAGGCATGGGGTTTGGAAGGGTAAGGAGATGGAGCATATGTTCAAATATAAGCATATATGGACACACCATAATGAAACCCAATAAATCATTACATTAACAGGAACTGACAAAATGTATTGTATACATTAATTTTCCTTTGAGAAGTGCCAATAAGAAACTATATAAAATAAGGACCACAGAAATTTCATCCCTCCTATAAGAAGCTGCTCATGTTGTCATCATTGCTTTATTGCTTTACTGTTATAGGTGTAAGCATTATTGTTCTATTTTTTTACAGGGATCCTTGCTGGGGTTTTTTTTTTTTTTTTGTATTTTAGTACAGAGTCTACCGGGTCTACAGGGTCTCAAGTCGTAGATTAGACTTGCAGTGATCTGCTGTGTTAAACCTCCCAAGAGCTGGGACTAAGGTACTCACCATGACTCCCAGTCTCAGTCCCTGTCTCAGCGCACCCTGGGGTTTGGGGCCGGCACAGTATGGCATGCTGGGCTTCTACTGCCTCCACCGAACAGCACTTGAATCAGCTGAGGTATTTGGCTTGTCCTGACTGTTTCTATTTATTTATTTATTATTCTACCATGAATACAGTAGAAATTTAAAAATTCATATTAATAAGAAAAAAATAAAATAGCAATGAAATAGTTTCAAAATCAGTTAGGACAGTTACAATAATTAATGCACTGCATATTTTTGTCTTCATAGTAGTTATTCAGAGGACAAGATGCAGACATGATGTCTTGTCTAAACAATATTAGGACAAACTTTTATTCTCAATGAACTAAGGTAAAGTGGCTATATATCTATCCTAACTCTCTTGTGTATACACACACACACATGCATTATTCTCTTTCACAACAGAACTGTTCTTTATTTATACTTTTGTGAAGTTAGTAATGGATGACACTAGGTTGCCTAGCAGCTGATAACTAACCTTCATCAGACAGGATGTTCATCTCAGAAGTGAGGTGGCTTAATTGCTTTAGGCACTGGGCTAAGTCCCACCTACACATATTTGATTGATTTCCTAGTTTCATGGCTCCCAACGTATCTCCCTTTCATTTTGTTTTTTTTCGACTTCCGTTAGAGAAGATGTATTTGGAGAAGACTTTAAAGGACCTTTCAAGCCTGTCTAAAGATTGTAGGTACTTGAATTCAGAAAAAAACCCCAATATAGTCCAATATTCCATAATATTAGTGGATTATCAGCAGAACTGCCAATTGTTAGAAGCTGTTGGCTTGAGCCTTTTACAGCTCAGCATATTAATATGGCTTTAGTTTTTTATACCTCATGGATACTTTTCTGCTGGATGATTAAGACCAAGATAAAGCAAGATCTATATAACTAAAAATGTAACTTTTGCATCTGACAAGGTCAGTCAAATCCCCTCAGGATTTATGCTAGAGCCATGTAGAGCAACTCGTATATCTTTTGTCAGTGTCAGCCATGTGGATGAGTCCCGGGCATTGCTTGACCAATTTGCTCTCTGTGAGATCCAGAGAGAATTTTTTCTCCCTAGGTGACTCCCCTTAGGCACACTATACATCATCCATCGCTTTCCTCTGTGGCCCCATATACTTGATTAGAAAATTTGATATACCAGAGTTTTAGGGTGTCACA